ATTTCGGAATCCATTCTTTACATAGTTGTTCATTTACTTTAGGGAACACGCGGAAAATTATATTTTTTCCTTTTGTTTCTCTATAAAATGTTTTCAAGTTGCAATCGTGCAAACTGGCATTTCGATAATAGTTTTAAATTCTTGTAAATTCACTGCAAAAACTGAGGAAAGTCATTATAGAAAATAACAAATGTCTTAGAATATCTCGCAAAAGGAAATGCTCCAATATTAGTAAGAGCTAGTAGGGCCGAACGCTCCGTTCCTGAAGTAAAAGTGCGAGCTTTGCGCCAAAGTGACGTCACTAGAGAAAATCGGAGGATTGGCGCGGCGAGAGCTACTTCAAAGGAATGAACCAGCCCTTCTATTCTCTTTAGCCCTGGTTTCTTGTGCATAACGTTTCCTTCTGTTTTCCTTTTAGTAGGTTTATCAACGAGTCATTTTCGAAACTCTTGTTAATCTATCTTAAAGTTGGAATGCAAGCTTGAACTCCTTTCTAATAGTATCCAATATAACATATATTTATGAGCCAATTGTAAAGGGGTTTTCGTCTGACAGAAAAATATTCTATTTGCTCAATCTAAACGAAAAGAAAATTTTATGAATCCAATTTCCTTATTTAGAAAGTAGCTAATTAATATTTTGAAATAATTTTTACCTCACGTCATTCATTGAACCATTGTAATTTGGTAACTAGGTTCGTGGAACCTAGTTACCAAATTACAAAGTCAGAAGTATTATTAAAACATTTTTAAAGTTATTTTATAACAGCTTTCCTGGTCACATCATAAATAAGGATACGGCACTTTTTATAAAATTCTCCATCTAAACTTATCAGTAGTCATTATTTTTCAAATGTCAATAAAAATGTTTTGTTAAATCAATGTTGTTGCTTTGTTAATTTGTTTTGTAAAAAGTTTTTTTTTCTTCATTCGAATTAGATTGTTCAGTTTGACGGTCAATAACAATGCAAATCGGTTAAACTGAAAAACAAAATCAAGCCATTCAGTAAAATATCGATATTTTCTAACGAAAATAAAATTTCATTAACACTTTGCAGTACTGTACATCCATATATTTCTTATGTGAATTTTGAAAGATAAAATAGTGCTTAAAATAATGTCTTTATTCTTTCTTTTTAAAGTTTCATTATGTTTTGAGAATTGTGTCTGCATTTTAAGTTTGCAGGTAAAATGCTCAAAACCTTTAAATACATGTATAATTCTTAAGATTACTAAAATGTCTTATGTATTCATTCATAAGACATTTCTTTCTAATTTAATTAAATTTTAAAACTAATATTTAAATATTTAGAATCTAATTTATATTTTACTAACTTGTTAAAATATATTTAGAAATTTTTTTGAGACTTTACACTATATATATACTTTTTCTTTAAAAAAAAGTTAGAGGGTATTTTTTTTAAAATTAACTTCAACTTCTACTATTCTATTTCTACTAAAAATACTTAACTCTTTGACAGAAACAATAACGGCGTTACTTTCAGAAGACTTATTTAGTACACTGCGAAAAATTCCGGAAAAAATAAAGGGAAAAAAAGCTGGTACCTTGTATGCAGGATACGTTAAATCTATTTTTACCTTAAAATTTTATACCAAAATTTTCTCAGTAATGTTTATCAAATCAGTAATGTTTATCAAATGTTTTTCTCAGTGTGTTTCATTGATTTTACAATAAATATTACTGTATAAAAATTACGGTAAATTAGAATACGTGTTCTGCAAAATTTTGCAGTTAAAAAGGATTTCACGGTAAAAAGTACTGGTTGTCCTCTCTTTTTCGGAGTAGATATGTCATTATTATATCCAAGTGTAGTTCATCAAAAGTGTAAAAACCGAGGATATTTCTAAAACCATAATAGTAAGTTGAGAACCTAGTATTAAACATTGTGTCCCAAATGTCACACAAATAATCTTGATTTAAAAAAAAAACAGGTTTTTAATTAAAAACTGTGAATATTTTATTGTATAAAGTATAGAATTATGTATGAATAACATATTGAAAATAGGGTATTAGTGATTTTGATGGTATGTACAAAATGTTTAGTCAAAAATTTCAAAAACCATTTTTTGCAGAAATGTGTCTAATTTTTATCAATATGCTGTTGAATTTTGTCCTCCAGGCGTAAGTAGTTATGGGCTTATAGTGACATACATATGTCTAAGAAATAAAAATAAATAAAGAAAGAAAAAGAAAACTTTCACAAGCGTTTGAAATCTAATGATTCAAGTGGCTAGTTAAGCTCACCAAAATCAAAAATTGGAAATGGTTAAATTATTAAAGTAATGTTCAAAATGAAAACTCAATATTCTTTCGTGTATTGCTTCCTTTTTAATATCACTTGACCATCAGCTGCTTCGATATAGTTTCTTCTCGTGAGTAACATTCATGACCCTCATTTAAAATTTTGCGTTAATGTCGGGGCAATCTGCATGATACCATTAAAAACAGCTTTTTAAAATCACAAATAGTAAAAATGTATTAAAAAACAATACGCTTTCCAATGTCACAATGGTACATTTTCATCAGTAAAACAAAAATCAGATAAAAGAGATGATAAAAAGAAAAGTGAGCAGATAAAAAAAAATGTCTTTTATCCTACTAATAAATACCATTGTAACAACGAAACGTGTATTGATTTTTAATAAATTTTTGCTATTTGTGATTTTAAAACGTTCTTTTCAATAAAATCTAATCCTATCACCGAAAAAAAAAACTCTCGTAATTTTATATCCTTGATTGTTGGTGTGTTCATATAATATATAGGTTAGGAAAAAGATTAAATGATTTGCAATTTAAATTTTATTAGAATCATATTTGATTTATCAGATTTTCTTAAAAGTATATTGAAGATTTATGAAAGGACATCAAAAATAAAAAAAACAAACGGTTTTTAAATCATAAGAGATAATGAATTAAATTCAAATGCATAAAGATACCTTTTTGCTAACACAAAAATAAATTATTCAATGTGTAGCTTAAACGGCATGATAAATCCTGCTATTTTCAGTATTTTATGGAAAATAATTAGAATATTAAAAGTCAATTAAGCTTTATAAATAGAATTTAAGTTCGTTTAAACATAAACCTAACTTCATTCACGCAATCCAACAATAATGGCTCGTGTTTACTTATTGATTAAGGTTCGTAAAATTATACGAAAACTGAAAGCGATTGCATTTTTCTTTTTAAAGCACAACATGATTGTTTCCAAGGATGTAAAACTGTCATTAAAGAAAAATGCTGTGTAAATATAATCATTTAATCAATATGGGAACCACTTGGTTCAAATTTGGCGCTAAGTTGCAATTTAAAACTTTGTTTTGCGCCAAACTCTATGGGAAACTAAATATTAAAGTTGTAATTAAACTAATTTTAAGACTAAAAATGTTTTTATTCAACAGTTACTTTTGTTTTATTTTTTAAAACTAGTATGCATTCTTACATGGTTTTAATCTTTAAAGCAATGGCACGAAATAAACACCAACATTAAAAACGTTAAACACTGACAATTTTCTCGAGTATACTGTTTGGATCACTCAGTCCAAAGTATAACTAAAAAAAATTTTTTTAGCCCTAACATTCCTACATTTATTTCGTGCCAACAAACATTTTGAATAGGTTTTTACGTAATAATTAAAGCAGTGAGTAGCAATATAAGCACAAAAGTGTTAGTTTTAAAAACGTCTTTCTAATAATTGTTTGGCAGTTAAAACGTTAAAGTGTTCTATAAATGGCACACTATAAATTTAAAGTCAAAAAATTAAAAAGAAATATTTGTAAATATTTAGTTTTTTTCGCGTTTTAATTTCGTGTTTTGTTTTGAATTCAAAACAAGAAATGTATCTAAGAGAAAAAGTGCATTTCTCATTAAATAACATTCAAAATCAGTTTCAATCAAAATTCTCAATTTTGACTACCTAAATTACTAAGTTACTTAAACTTAATTTGAAAATAATGCACATTTTCAATACAATACAATTTAAATAAATGAATAAATACCTATTATATAAGCACTACACACGTTTTAAAAGCTAAATTGGTCATAGCTATTTCAAAGATTAAAAAAAAGTTACCAAAAAATAGTATTTATTTTTAAAACAATTATGCTTAAAAACATATTTAAATCACGTAGAAAGGTCTTTTTTTAAATAAAAACTATCCAACAATATGAAGCAAACTGCAAACGATGAATTTAAAATTATTGTTTGTTGAATGCTATTCTTAAAATTTGGTTACATCTTTAAATTTTTCACACTTTTTAAACATTATATGCGCAAGTTAGCAACCTCACACCAGCAAAGCTAGTATGTTTTAACTAAGGTCACCTTCCAAATCGCTTATTTGGCGATACTGTTGCATAAAATCAATCTAAAATGATTCAAGCATTATTAATCCCTGGAAAATATGCAAACGGTTTTGAAATTGTTGCCGAATGGCAACATAAATGAAAAGATATTAAAAATAAAAAACAAACGATTTTTAAATTGCAAGCGATAGTTCATACATAAATAAATACAAAACCCTTGATTTTGAATTCGTATTTTTAATTTTAACTAAACAGGTGAAATAAAAAATAAATCGGATATAATATGTAATGAAATTACTAAAATTTATTCTGAGTTCGTGCGATCCCGTCATATGACGCATTGAAGCCAAGCCCTCATCTTTTACAGTGCTTGGCTACCTTTTCGCCGTCGCCAAGAACGACCGGCACAAGATTAGGGGAAATATAGAGAAGAGAATCATCTTCAACGGAAGAGGTGGAGGAATTGTTCATAGGTGATGTAACGATTCGCGAACGTGAGTTACTCTGGAATAAATCCAAGGTTTTGCTTTTGAAAAGGGTGAGTGAAAAAACTAATTTTTTTATTAAGCGCTACGATATTAATGACTTTTCCATTGTGGTATCTGGCACTGTCATTTAAAGGAGGAATGAACAAATTGCACCGGTGCTTATGTACCTAGGAACATTAGTAGTAGTAATCGCTTGCTATCGAACGTTTTTCATTTTATAGTACTGTATTCGAAGTGACATTCAAAACAAATGCAAAACACATTTTTGAAATGCTGTCAGATGTTTTTTCTGGCATAAATTCAGAACTATTTAATGCAAGGAAAAAACCCAGCTAGCTCTATTCTATTTAAAGTTTCATTAAATGCAGCTCTCCCTTCACAACTGAGAAAAAATTTTACAAATATATATGATTGCCAATCAAAACAAAAATTTATATTTTATCTTTATAATTTAAATACAAAAGCTAATGTTCATAATAAGAATGTTTGGAAAATGTATTCCAGTGTTTATATTTTATTAAATTTCACTAAATCATTAACTTATTTTGCTTTTAATATCATTTTATATACTTTATTTTGTAGAATAATCTGAACTTAGAATATCCACATTAAAATTATACTTGTTAAGAGGAGAGGGAAAAAAAGTTTTATTGAATGAATAAAACTTACGAGATAATTGAATCCCTTAAAATAATCTATTTAATTGATTAGTTAATAAATTATTTTTTTTTTGTTATTTTGTTTAGAAGTGGATAGGTTTAAGATTCAGTCTGTGTGAAATAATTAAAAGAATTTATTTGTCCCATTATATAAAACGCATAAAATATATCTTTAAAATTAGAAAAGATTTGTTTGTATTTGTGACCCATGCAACTTTTAATTAAGCAAATATTTTAATTGGGTAACAATATTTTTCAGAAGATGAGAAGAAAATTGTTATGAAACTATTTAACTTGCATATTTTTATATTCCATCATTATTTACTTTAATTACAATATTAATCTCTAATACTAGAATCCAATTCTATACTAGAATATTAATTACATGTAGATTAGACTAAAGCAAACAATTAATTAGAATTAAAACATCCATACTATAATAATTTTATAAGTTTAAAACAGTTATTTTCTTAAAAGAAAAATAAATTAGTTAGTGTTTTTACGGTACCTCGTTAAAATTGTCAAAGGGTTATTAGCATCGATGGAAAAACTTGTCTAATTTAGTAACATTAGGTATACTTTCTGACACGGCGAATATGTATATCTCGCTCTCTCTCTTTTTATATTTATTTATTTCTGTAATTTTCATTTTCTTCGGGTATAATAGTTCACTTAGGAGAAAATAGGATAAACATACATGCAAAGGATTACATAAACATACATGCGTAATAAATTCTGTTCAATTCGCAATATAACTTAACAATTTTTACATCCGAATTAAGTAAACATGTTTCAAAACGCTAATTTTAAAAATATATAAATATAAAGAACTTAATAGAATCCCTTAACTATCATGTACATATCACTCAAAAAAAGTTTTGCTATGAAATATAGTTTATATCATTTTCTACATTTAAACTTTAATCGAATTCATACATAAAAATTCATCATATAAATACACTAGGATAGAAAAGTACTTAAAAAATGAAACTCAATATTAATGTACCGTTTCTAAATAAGCAAGTTTTAAACCGAAATATATGAATACATGTACAGGTAAATTTTAATTAGATACACAAATAAGAAATATATCATATAAATATATAGGGGTGGAGAAGTTGTTAAAATGAAAATGAAACTCTAAAATATGTTTTATAACAACCCTATCAGAAAACATGTGCTGTTTCTTAATGGGATTCACATATGAGAAACATATCAGATAAATTTTTAGGGGTACACAAGTTCTTGAAATAAAATTAAAATTCCAAACGTGCTTCATAACAAACATATATGAAAACATGTGCGGTTAAGTTTTAATCTGATAATTATATGAGAAATAAATTAAATAAATATATGAGAGTAAAGAAGTTTTAACAATAAAGCTTTAAAAAATAAAAGCATAGTCTCTGAAATTCATAAAATTTACAAGCGTCATACGCATCATTTAATAAAACCTAAAAGAAACAGTTTCCAAACCCTTAAGAACAGAAATCCAGTACGACTGTTATAAAATTATCGAAACTTAAAACACACGCATACGCAGCTATGAAAGGGATAAGAGATTAAATAACTTCAGCATTTAAAGAATAAATAGAATGCGTGATACTATTAATATTTAACGAAGAAAGAAAATTCTAACAAGCAAGTAATATTGGTTACTGACTTTGGATTATAATTACAGCAACTAAAAAATGTAAGTACTAAAAAAACGGGGAAAAAAGCGAAAACACGGCAACTGGTTTGATTAGGTCACAAAATAAAATAAAATAAAATTGAATATTTGAAAAGCAATCCTTTATTTATCAAAATAATTCATACTATATACATGTTTGTGAAAATTTCAACAGCACAAAGGAATCATACAAATTGAACCAAACTTGCATGAAATGTAAAGTGGAGTAAGACATGCAATCACAAAGTGAATGCGCAGGTGCCGCCTTTTATTGCGCATGTTCATTTATGCCATGCAGTTGCAATTTTCACAAATATTAATGTATAAAATGACACAATACAAACAAAACGACATGTATACGATAAAACTGCAAATTCTGATTTTGTATTCTTTTGAATTGTTTTTTTTTCTAGTGGAGGGGGGTATTTTTCCTTATATAGGTACACAAAAATTCTGCATTGTTTTTAAAGAGACATTCTTTAAAACATATACTTAATGTTCATACATTTTTATATCTTTTATATACCTGAAAATAGTACATTAATTTCAGGTATATAAATGAATAAAGTTTCATTAAATATAGGAGCATGCATATACAGTCGAACTCGTTTATAACGAGCACAAAGGGACCGTAACATGTACTCGTTAAATCCGAGTGCTCGTAATAAACGGGTCCTTAAGGCAGGCGAGCTACCAGAAGAGGGGGGGGGAGGTCAAATTATTGAATTTACATAAAATTTAATTAATACTTACTTACTTTAAATAATTTAATTAAATACTTTTCTTAATTTAATGACAACTACCCCCCCCCCCAACAGCAAAAAATTTCTATTTGCGCTACAGTCTTAAAGGAAAGAAGCAATAAACGGAAAGAAAAATAAAGGAAGAGATTCTTACCAAAACATTTATTTTTTTCATTAATCTACATATTTAAAATAGTAATTTGTTAGCTTACTTTGAAGTTTCAGTTCGCGTTTTTTTTTTTATTTCGCGCGCATTTCTTATCATTTTGAAAAAAAGATTGCAAGACAGAAAAATATTGCTCGCTAAAACCGGGTCTTGCTCGTTAAAAGCGACTTCTGTTCCATAGACTTAACATTGATCCAACCAAATATTCTCGTTTCCCTNTCTGATATTTGATAGTCTTTTATTACTATTTACCTTACTTGGTAATTTCGGAAATTGTCATTATACATTAATTAAAATATCTATCAATAATAATTAATTGGAAAATTAAGTCTAAAATATTCATTTAAATAATATGCATTGAAATAAATTAATCTTTTTGTGTATATAATAGCATGAGTGATAAGAGAAATTGGGGTACGTTACCGGACTTTTCAAGAACTATTTTATCGTAGAAACAAACGAAGCTATAAAAGAGAATTACATTTCTTAATGTTTATCTAGAATCATGTTATTATGCACATTTTTCGCCAATCGCATCAAAAGAAAAACGTAAATTTATATATATATATAATACAATAAAAAAATGTATTTAAGTAACATATCGCAACTTCATTGATATAGAAACAATATTTTTTCACGATTTTCAAAAAGAATTAATACTATTTTATAAATAATATTGAAAAAAAATTCGGATAATTTTTGTGTTCCTTACCTCGTAAATACTTATGATGCACCAGAATGTTTTTCAATTACTACCTTCGAGGTAATCTTGATTTATAATTTTTAAATTTTTGTTCTTGTACAGTGACATACTATCCAGACAAGAGTAACTGCAAATTCAGTATTTTTAAAAACGTGAATGACATGAAAATGCCCAAAGCTACATTCATGTATATATTGTACGTGGATGGTCACCCTATAGCACATCGATAAGAATATTACTACAAAAATAATTTTTAAAAATTATAAATATATACATAAGGAATAGTTAAATTATAATTAAATGAAACGTTTTTAATGTTTTGGAATTTTTTTTAAAGCTCGTGCATTTTAATCACAATGCAATTTTAATCCCAATTATGCGCAATTTGAATTTTGTACTTCTAATTATATGTACTTTTAAATTCGCGATGATATCTTGAATAGATTTTCTTGAAGGCACATTTTTCCTTCATGAGTTGTAAGAAAAATATTCTTTGCAAAAAGTTCGATAGAATAAGAGTTCCACCCGTTTACTGTGATAAATTATTTGTCACAGATTATAATTATTACAAGAATCAAACTTGTTTAAATGTTTTCATTCCCATCTTCTTCAAAAATTCTCTACATACTTGGCATAGATTTCATAACAACTAATTTTTAGTTGGCGACCTCTAATGTGACTGTGTTTTTTCCTTAATTTTAAATAAGGACTCTAAAATATATATATCGAATAAAATGTCTTTCAATGGATAGAATTTACAAAAGAATTAGCTTGCAGTATTATTCTTAATCGATAATGAATCGATTAAGCAAGATGATTATAAATCATTTCTTGTATGTTGTATGGCAACAGTCTGGATGAAAAATAGAACAGCTATGGTGAATAATATTTGCTAACCTTCTGAATAAGTCTATCTTTTATTAAAGTGATAAAACAACACTTCAAGCTATTTCAAATAAACAGACATTTTATTAATAATAAATAACTTTATTTCACAGCTTACGTTGAATTTTCCCCCAGTTTACATTGATGGTTCTTCACAAGAAGGGATATTAGGATCGGGAACCGAGCTAGCTATCCATGACACTATCAAAAAGCCACACAAAT